TTTATGTTATCAATTGGTAGACAACTATTTGTCTAAAAGACTTTGTCAGACAATTAATGCACAACATGTCCAAAGTTTGCAAGTTATCAGTATTAGAGAGCATACAATTGAGTCCAATAAATATTCACTGCAACCATATCTTAGTTATAAAGTTAACTAAAAAACAAGTTTATTGAGCGATAGTTCTTTGAGGGGTTTTTAGATCTGGTTATCAAAAGTTATATTTATCTCGACTTAACGTTACATTTAGAGATAACGCATAAAAAATTATACAGTAATTTTGTTTTCAGTTTATAATTTCAATTTGAGTTTCATTAAATAACATTAAATAACGTTTAAAATTTAAAAATATATTTAATTAAGAAAATGAACATCTATAAAAACTATACAGTATATATACTAAGTATATATACAGTACTATAAAAACTTTGTTCAAAACTTACTTTAGAACTTGATTTCCGATTGAAAGCATTTTCTATGATACTTGTCAGCACGAAATCAATTGAACATAACTGACATATGACTTCAAAGTGAAAATATTAAGAAATATTGTAAATATATAATATATAATTATAGTCAGAATTGAATTCTGGTTTTAGTGCTTATTCTTAGAAATGGGAACAAAAGTGTAGGGACTGTGCACTGTACAGGACTATGAAAACTTAAAGTTAAGGTGAGATACAAGCTTTGAATGCATAGTAATTCTTGGGCTCTATTTGTTGCCAAGTAATGAGAGACCGCCTCTCAAACAGTCACTTATTTACACTTTCCATGCATTCACTCATTGCTCCACATTTTGTACCACTTTTTCATATTCATTATACCAATAGATAGCGTGAGTTCGGGAAACTAATGTTAATTTAATAATTAAAGCCAATTATTGTCTTAATTGTCATTTAATTTTTCATTAAATCTAAGAGACAGAGATTATAGCTTGGATTTAGCATACAGTATATTACTGATTTTTGTACTTATTGATTTCCATTGAATTAATACATCCACTCAGCAATAAATGGCATGACCTAGCTCTAATTGTAATGAAATTAATCTTTGACAGCAACATCATGTAATTTTTATTTCTGTATTTATTTTTATTCAAAAACAGTATTTTTAAATATATTATATTCATTTTTATCAAATTATTTTATAAAATAAATATTGTACAAGTCTTATAACTTATAAGTTATAAGTATATAAGCTAATTCTACTTAACAGTTAATTAAAAATTCTTTAAAATTAATAAACTTTAATTTACAAACTTATAGAATTTTTAAAATCTTAAGAAAAAATTATTTATACAGCAATATATTATAAATACACTTATAAAAAATCACAATGATGTTTTAAATGTCTAAATATTTTAAAATCAAACTATTTTACATTTCTAATAAATGACAATAATTCCAAACAATGTCATGTTTTAACATTATTTCTATTTAATTAATTTTTAAACCCAACAAACAAAACAGACTATATAGAAAATTGTCGTGGATGTTTGTGTACTATATTTTGACTCTTAATATCAATTAAAGTCAAATGTAAGTCAAAGTCAAATGGGTAATATATAGTGCTTTACTTTAACTTTCTGTAGGGAATTAAGTGGATTAGCAATACTGTCATCTAATGGTGTTTACTAGTATACACAATAAATAATTAATTTAAATCTTTGTCATAGAATATCTATAATCCGTTCAAAACAAAAGTTAAATAATTCCGTTGACACAGAATGTGGTGATTCTGTAATATAGAAGTTGTTAAGAACCAAGAGTTTGTCAATAATTGTTTTCGACAATAGTTTTTAGTGTTATTTTTGATTTCACTTGTTTTACGTTACAAAGAAACTAATGATTAAATCAAACTTTAGTGATATTTATATTTTATCATATTATAATAGAGTTTTAGTTTTTATATTAAATTCAATAACTTTTAAAATAATTATTTAATAGAACCACAGTTTTCCGTACATTTTTTTGATATAAAAATACTGTACTTAAAATAAAATCATTTAATAAAGTTTTTGAAACTAGATAACCTAGAAAATCATTATTATTAAATTGCCTAGACTAGTTACAGATTATATAAAATTCTTGTTTACTCGAAAATAGCAAAATATAGTGATAGTGCATTATATTATTATGTACTAATCATCAGATTTATTGTAACTTGATTGAAATAACATATAATTAATTAAATTAAATTTTTAAAGACTATAGTTGTAAAATGAAATTTTATAAAATTGGTGTTAAACTGGAATTTGATTGAAATTGCAATTGGGATCCTGTACTGTACTGAAGTGTGGGAATGTGTCTGTGAATAGAATTTAAATTTGTTGACTACTCGTTAGACTTTGAGAATTGAGTCGTGAAAACTTTGCTCTTAATTAGAAATACTTATCATTTGTAAATTTATTTCACGTGAAAATCATGTGAAGACGTGTTCAATGATTTTATCATTTCGTTATATCTTATGACAACAAAACCAAAAGTGAAATCAAACAGAAAACAAAATATACAGACAAAATGTATTTATAGACACGTTATATATATATTTAAAATTATATTCATTACAATTAAGACTTAATTTAAGACACAAGTAATATCAACTGCAATGTATAAAAATAATTATAGTAAGTTGTATCCAAAAATTCTTTTTAAATAATGTAAAAATAACAAATTTTGCATAAAAATTGTCAGTATTTAATGATTATAGTAAAACATTAAGAATCACCAATATTAATATCTTATTTGCATTTTAATTTGATTATTGAAAGCTCTGACAAACACTTTAACATAGTTTGACAAGTTTTGCCTTTTAAAAATAAAATTAAATCAAATGTGCACTGAATTGTGACTGAAAACAATACACAAAACACAGAATATGACAAAACTTCTTATTATAAAAATTAAAGCCCATTCAAAAGGCACTTAAATTGACATAATTTGTAACAAATTAGTAAAATTGAATGCTTTTACAGTGAGGTACACTATATCATAGGTACTTTATATACAATATAAATGATACTGTATATAATTACAATTGATGTTTAAAAACAATAAATATTAACTAAAATACAAGTCTTGTTTCGGACATAAAATAAGTGGTCTTTGAATTGAAAAATAGTTTTCAGTAATTAAAATAAAAAATCTGTCTTTAAATTACGTTAAAAAACAATTTGTTTAATACAAAAATGCAATTAAAAACGATATAATGATTAGCTATTAGTGGCGGTTGTGGTAGTGATCCGTTGCCTCGACTTCTTTTGTCGCAATTGATTACTACTTGTGTTGGATCTGTTGTTGTCATCGCTTTGATGGCTATTGTTGTTGTTAATCATCAATAACTCCCTCACGAACCGGAATCGGCTTAAGAAGACCTTCCATACTAAATACCATCCTTGGGATCAATTACGAGACTCGGTTAAGACAAGTGTATGATATGTGACACGCTATTCAATGGCTTACCGATGAATACGAAGATAATGACGAAAATAAATGACATTATAATGGATAATAACATGAGAAATATTTGTGTCATTTTGTGGCCGATTGGTGTCCACTGTGTCTGAACATCCACTCAATTCAAGCCAACATTGAGTCAAACATATCGTCAAACAATGAGCTAATTATATGTCAAATCAATTTAAACGGCATTTAAAACACTCTTTCATAATGTATTCACAAATATAATGTAATAATCAATGAATAGGAAAGTGAGACACAAACTGATGATTAGTTTCTCATTTCTAATAATCATTTCAATGACAACAACGGATTGCATAACAAAAAAGTCACACAATTTATGGCACGTTATGTGTGAATAGGTCTCACAAAGTGCTCAAAAACTGCAAATTCATTGAATTGTTTTGAATGAGTCGTGCATTTGAGTGAACACTGCATTCAACTCTTGTTACCAATTGATCCACCATTTGATCCACACTTTCACCTCAGATTACATCACATCCAATGGCTTTGCAATCACTTCACGGACTGCCGACGAATCCGTCGTTTGGATCACTGGACAGATCGCTGGACGTGAACGCTGTCCAAGAGTTGGCGGCGTTTGACACGACATGTCTGGCGATGCCATCCGTGGACTCGTTTGATATGAACCACTTGTACGACGCGAACGACACCCACAAGAAGATCGACATCCATATGGATAAGGGAACCACTACTCTGGCGTTCAAGTACAGGGGAGGTGTGGTGGTGTGCGCGGACAGTCGTGCCACCGGTGGTCAGTACATAGGCTCGCAGTCCGTCAAGAAGATCATAACCATCAATAAGTATCTGTTGGGAACCATGGCTGGAGGCGCCGCCGACTGTGTCTACTGGGAACGGGTGCTGTCAGAGAGGTGTCGTATATATGAACTGCGAAATCGAGAGCGCATTTCAGTGGCCGCCGCCTCCAAACTCTTGGCTAACATTCTCTACAACTATAAGGGGTTCGCAGAGAGACCGACACTTCTTCACCAGTTTGTCATCTATTTGTTCATCTCTTATAGNTCACTCAAATGCACGACTCATTCAAAACAATTCAATGAATTTGCAGTTTTTGAGCACTTTGTGAGACCTATTCACACATAACGTGCCATAAATTGTGTGACTTTTTTGTTATGCAATCCGTTGTTGTCATTGAAATGATTATTAGAAATGAGAAACTAATCATCAGTTTGTGTCTCACTTTCCTATTCATTGATTATTACATTATATTTGTGAATACATTATGAAAGAGTGTTTTAAATGCCGTTTAAATTGATTTGACATATAATTAGCTCATTGTTTGACGATATGTTTGACTCAATGTTGGCTTGAATTGAGTGGATGTTCAGACACAGTGGACACCAATCGGCCACAAAATGACACAAATATTTCTCATGTTATTATCCATTATAATGTCATTTATTTTCGTCATTATCTTCGTATTCATCGGTAAGCCATTGAATAGCGTGTCACATATCATACACTTGTCTTAACCGAGTCTCGTAATTGATCCCAAGGATGGTATTTAGTATGGAAGGTCTTCTTAAGCCGATTCCGGTTCGTGAGGGAGTTATTGATGATTAACAACAACAATAGCCATCAAAGCGATGACAACAACAGATCCAACACAAGTAGTAATCAATTGCGACAAAAGAAGTCGAGGCAACGGATCACTACCACAACCGCCACTAATAGCTAATCATTATATCGTTTTTAATTGCATTTTTGTATTAAACAAATTGTTTTTTAACGTAATTTAAAGACAGATTTTTTATTTTAATTACTGAAAACTATTTTTCAATTCAAAGACCACTTATTTTATGTCCGAAACAAGACTTGTATTTTAGTTAATATTTATTGTTTTTAAACATCAATTGTAATTATATACAGTATCATTTATATTGTATATAAAGTACCTATGATATAGTGTACCTCACTGTAAAAGCATTCAATTTTACTAATTTGTTACAAATTATGTCAATTTAAGTGCCTTTTGAATGGGCTTTAATTTTTATAATAAGAAGTTTTGTCATATTCTGTGTTTTGTGTATTGTTTTCAGTCACAATTCAGTGCACATTTGATTTAATTTTATTTTTAAAAGGCAAAACTTGTCAAACTATGTTAAAGTGTTTGTCAGAGCTTTCAATAATCAAATTAAAATGCAAATAAGATATTAATATTGGTGATTCTTAATGTTTTACTATAATCATTAAATACTGACAATTTTTATGCAAAATTTGTTATTTTTACATTATTTAAAAAGAATTTTTGGATACAACTTACTATAATTATTTTTATA